AGCTACAAGTGGGCAGAAGTTTTTGACAGTTTTGCTTGTCACAGTGTCCTCCTGCCTACAGCAGAATTTGACAGGTACTAGACACACAGCTGGTTAACTAAATAGACAGTGGTACCTCTTCGTGCTCAGCGGTGGCTGTTGAGGACCTAGAGTGGCTGTGAGCACTGAGGAACTCACAAGGTCGCCTATCTCAACCTGCTGTGTTTTAGACTTAACATGACAGTGTCATAACCACTGCGTTTGGTAGGGGTCGTGTGATTTGTTCCTTCATTGAGCACATACTGTTGAAGGTGAGGGTTCAGTGCTCCACATAAAGATGCTTAAGTTCCTAACCTCAGTGAGCTGATAGCCCAGTGGGAGGACACACAAGCAGTCTCCCATTGCACCTAAAATGAAGTCCAGACTTTTAGTTTGTATCTCCAAGATCACACATGCCTGGACCCTGCTTTTCCCTCTAAAGCTTTTGAACTGTGCTCCAACCAGAGGGGCTTGAGTTCATTTTGTTTCATTTTATTTTTGAATTCACCATTTTGCCCATGTAGAACATTCTTCTCTCGGTCTTCTGAAGCTAGGACCTTCGCATTCTTCGTGTCTCAGCCTACCTTTCTTCTCAGCAAGGTCTTCTCCCCCCATCCCCATCTAAGATATGTCCTGCTTGTTTTTCTCCATCACAGATCTCTTGTTTATATCTTGTTCATCACTGGTCATACTCTGCAATTATGTTAGCAAGTTCCTCAATTATCTGTAACTTACTAGAAAGACAGCTCTGCCAAGGTCAGGGGCATCATCTGTTGTTCACTAGGGTATCTGCAGCTCTAGGAATAGTGCCCAGCACACAGTGGGCCCTTAAGAAACATTTGCTGAATGATGAGTAAGCACCGTGTTAGGTGCTGGTGAGGGAAGTGTGATGGATCTTAACCCCCTGAGAGATTTGTAGTGAGTAAGAACAAAGAGGTAATGACACTGTGACATTGGCTGTATGTCAAGGCATTCACCTGAGGCTGGGGAGCTCAGAGAAAGGGTACCAAAATCTGTCTTTGCTAGTGTGGGCGGGAGATGAATAAAGTGGTGAGGGAGGCTTCCTGGAGAAAGGACAAATGACACGTGAGCCTCAGCTTGAGGTGCCTGCAAGAGGTAAAAGGAAGAAACAAAATAACAAGGAATCAAAGATCTGGAGCTTAGGGGTTGCATTGAAGACTTCAGTAATGGCATCAGTATAACGAAAATGATAATATGGATTGACAGAAATGGGATTGTTCCCTCTTCCTAGAAATTATTACATAACTTCACAAATATGCAGTAGAATTCCAGATTTTAAAAAATGAACTATAATGGAAGAATAAAAGGAAAATAATCAATTGTATATGTAACTCAATGCTGAGAACCCTAACCCTAAGAGAATCAGTGCTTGCACTTCTTGTGAAAGCCTCATGAATGAGGTATGAGTATAGTACTAGTAAAACAAAAAGCATGCTGTCATTTTCCCAGGGGGCCAGCAGCTCTTGAAAATGCTATTAAGAATGCAAGCTATGTTCTTCCCTTCATTTACTGTTCTTACGCTTTTGGAAAATGTGGTAATAATGGTATTAATAAAACCCTGCTTTCACGGATACACAAAATGGAGTGAGGAGCTTGATTCTGATAAGTACAGGTATCTTTTAATCTATGCAAATGTCCAGTCAGCCATAAAATTGGATACAGTGAATGACAGCTCCTCATACTGAACTGAAACAGGCACCTCACAGAATCCAGCAGGCTTGGCTCCTGTGCACTAAGCATCACCAGCCCCCCCTCCTCTTCTCCCACTCATCTGCCAATCCAGAACCTCCCTGGAGACTGTGGTCAGAACATGGGCTTCTTGTTGAATGGGTGGGGTCGTTGTTCAAGCCTGTGGGTCTTCTAGGTGGGAGCTGATCATTTCACATGCCTAGGGGCTTATCTTTGTGGAGGGTTGGCTTGTCTTTGGTTGCCCTGCATTACTTGGTTGGTATAGAGGTTGTTCTACTCAGTGGAATCTTATTAATGTTTCTCAAACTCTTTTTTTCTCCTACGCTTTGTGCAGCAGGGTTGTGGATTCATGTTGCTCTTGGCCAAGCAGGAAGCCCACAGGAATAAAGGGGCTTGGTGGGTAGTGTCACCAAGTGGATTGTGCATGTGTGCAGGTCTGGAGGGGGCACCTCAGGGCCCTGCAGTGACTGTGTGGGATGGTGGGCGGAGAGCTGCACCACCATCCTCTGCTATGTTAAGAGAAGATAAAAATTCAGGAGGCTGGGATTGTAGCACTTCACTTACTATTCACCAGGCCCTGGGCTCCAGCCCCAGTACTAAAAAAAGAAAAGGAAAAAGAAAATCTGTGATTTTGCATGTAATATCACAATTTTAAAAACATTTTATCAAATAATTCAATTAATTAGTTTAATTAAAGCTTAAAACACACTCAGAACCAGCCTGAGAAGACTCATCCTCCAGCTATGTGTGATTTGTTAGCCCCGTTTACAACCTGTGATCTGTACTTATGTTTCTTCAGCAGTTGCTTTTGTGCAGATAAACTGTGAAAAAAGCAGTGCAGTTGGAAAAAAAATCCAATCCTAAAAGCGATCCAGCACTTTTAAATCCTTATGAAAGAATGAAAATGAGTCATGTCTTTATTGTTTATAAAAATGTAAAAGCAAACAAGTTCTTTTCTTTTGTTTGAGATTATTGGCGTGACCATTAGGTCTCAAGTGCTGATTTGTGCCTGACTTGGTATAGGTTCTACTTTTCTACTTAGTTGCAAGGTTATTCACATTATTTTCAATGACTGCCATTTAAGGAATTAGTTATCCGGACCACTTGACTTCCTTTTGATTGGAATAAGAATGTAGCACTTTGAAGGAGAATGACATCTAGTGGCTGGTTGCTGTGTATGTTCATTTCTTCTGCAGGGGCAACTGGGTTTTGACTCTCTTGGTTATGATTTCACAAAAGTCTCTGCAAAATGAGCTGCTTTCACTTTGAAATCATGTAATTTGTTCCAAAGCCTTGGCTACTGTTTCCTAACAGAAGGTTTACCTGTTACCTTGAAACAGGCACCTGACACTGTTTGGATTCTGAGAAATGATTCCTTGAATTGAGCTCCTGCTTTGACCAACTAGGAGGAACCAGAGCAGTGACAGATCTTTATTATCCTTTAAAGCGTGGATCGTGGGTTGCTTGTTTTCAGAAGCCTTAATTCAATACCATGTTATGTGCTTCAGAGCTTGTTGACCTTAAATAAATAACCTTTCCCTGCTGTTTCAGGGACTCTTCATAGTAATTTAATAAGGGTTTCTCTGTTTTTGAAATAAAACAGCAGGTGAGTATAATGGATTGACCTTGATGTTGTTTAGGGAACATAATGTCAGTGGTGAGTAATAATGGAAGAAACCATAGCTTAGTGTGCTTTATCCTGAGAAATTAAAAACAATTCTCAACTCATTGTGCAAGGGACAGAAGTAACAGGTGTTTAAATTATCAGGATTTTTAAAGACTGAAAAGATAACAGATACACAATGGCTTTTAAAAGCATCAGAAACAATGAGGAATTTTTAAAAGAAATTAAAAACATGTATACTACAGGAAAAGAATTCCAAAATATATATCAGTAGGAAAAAGAGAAAGAAAATTGCCTGGGATTTAGCTCAGTGTTTCCACCGCCTGCCTTGCAAATGCAAGGACCTGAGTTCGATCTGTGGTACAGAAAAAAGAAAAAAAAATTACTGATTTGATCCATGAATCTTATTATTCATAGAAAACCATCATTTTTAAAAAAAATTTTGGCACCTTCCCTGCTCCTTTGGAGAGATTTTAAGCTATAATGAGAGCTTGCCATTTCCCTTACTTTAGCCTGCCCCCATCCCCCCCATACCATGTTGCAAATAAATAGAAATCTCATTTGGCTACTTGGTTACTCTGTTGTATGGAAATATTATAACTTTAGATAACCAGTCCTTATGGGGGGTATGAAGTGATACTTAGGATTCTGACAATATTTGCTGTTTGGAAAAAAAAAATGACCTTCTATATACCAGGTTGCCTAAGCAAGACAAACTCCTAGAAGTAGAATTGTTATGTCAAAGTTATGCCTTTGAAAAACTTTTTGATTGACACTGCTAAATGATCTTCCAGAGGTGGGTGTGCCAGTTCAGTTATGCTGTGGGCCCATTCTTGCAGTATACTTGCAGGAGTTAACAAACCAGGAGCTCGTTTTTTTCACAGGTGGAAACAACCTTCATCAGTGGGCCAAGGTATTGTGTGTTCTTTGCTACCTTTGCCTTTTGAACCTAAAATTTATGATGCACATTTTTGTCTAAAAACCGAGTATGGTTTTGCAAGGAGAACTTATCTATAGACAGATGTGTTAACTCAAGTGAATGCATTTGACATTTATGCATTTAGTAAAAGGTGAATTGGAAGCTTTTCTCCTTTAAAGAGAACTTAGAAGGAAAGTGAATTCTTAGATTGGTCTGTTAGATAATGCACTTAACATTTATTCAGTGGTGATGTGTAGGCTCAGTCATCATCAATCTTGTTAACAGAGAGGAAAGTTGTTTTTTGTTTCTTTTTTCTTTCATACGGGAGATCAGACTCAGGACCTTGCACTTTCCAGGCAGTCGTGGAATTACAACTGAATTTTAGATATGATATTCCAGGATATCTTAAAGAGAAATACTTACATTTCACCCTCCAATTTTATTTTTATTTTCTGTGTGTTTTACCTTTCACACGCTTTTAGACATGCTCTTTTTAAGAGCTGCTGTTTTAAAATTAGTCTTTAACATGGAATACACACATTTTTGATGACACAGTGTATCTTTTTAGATAGGCAGCAACCACTGGGTTGCTGTTTTCATACATAGTCTAAGAATAGTTAGGAAGTTACTATTTTAGGTTAGATTTTCTCTCAGTATATATGCTTGCAAGAAAATTATATTCACCATGGGAAATCAGTACATGTACATATCACTTCTTGGTCATTTTTTAAAAATATGGAATGCTTCACAAGTTTGGGTGTCATTCTTACATAAGGCCATGCTAATCTTCCCTGTATCATTTCAGTTTTAGCATATATGCTGCCGAAGCAAGCACAGGTTAGTGTATCTTAAACTGAGGCTCCTGGAAAGTTTTGAGAGTGAAAGGCATGTCTGTGAGAATTTTCCTTCTTGAAGAGACACCGTTAAATCATTTGAATCCAAAAAAAGCTACTTAAGAATTCTCTAACAGTGTAGTGTTTAGAGCAAAGAAAAATTACTTTGGGTTTTGAGGAAAATGTTAGATTTTATTTTACTGAATTCACTGATTTTTTTCCCTCCCCAGGTTTCTAGTCAGTATTAGCTGAGAATTGCTTAACCAAAAGAACAAATAACTCTCTGTGGTCTGTAAAGCTTCATTCCAGGTGGATCCAGTCTAGTGTTTTGTTTGGAAAACCACAAAACCTGTGGGTAGTAAAGAGCCCTTTGGAGGAGTGAAGCACAGACATGGAAATAGGGAGAAAAGACGGGCAGAGAGCAATAGGGGGCAATTAAGGGACAGGGTTTCTGGACATGCCTAGGGCAGTGTGGATGCCAAGGGTTGCCATGTTGTCTGCACTGGAATTTTGTCAGAGTGTGTCTTGAGCCCAGTGGCTCTTTTCCTTGTGAAACTAGGGATAGAAGAGTGGTAACTAATTCCAAACCTGTAAATTGGACCACTGTTCTCAAGGGCTGATATGAAACATCAGCCTATACTTATCCAAACTAGTGTACACAGATCATTTACTTCCTATAATAGTTTTATTTGACGTTATGATTGCTTTCTGCAGTTTTATTAAAGGATGTGCCTGTCTAGAAATATCTACACTTCAGATAGAGCTGGAGTAGATACTGAATTTGAGGAAAGCTGTCCCAGCTAATTTAGGTCACCTTTTGAAATCTTGGTCTTCAGAACATTCCTTAGTTTTAGAAATTTGTTTCAATAATAACAATTAATTTTTCTGTTTTCATTCGATGGGCCGGTCATCTTGCTGAGTGGTAGAGTGCTTGCCTATTATGTATGAGGCCCTGGGTTCTGTCCCAGCACTACCTACAGCCTAAATTCTGAATAACTATGATGTTTCTGGCATGTATGTTCTCTAATCTTCAAAAGAGCCCTAAAAGGCTTACATTGTCTCCCTTTTGTGATGAGAACTTTGGGGGTTGGTAAGATTAAGTGACCTGAGCTAAAGGATAAAGTTCATACCTAGGGAACCACAGTCAACTCCAGAAGTACCCTGTGGAAATGAAGACAAGTTACCTGGGAAAGGGACCTGTTTGCATCTGGTAGCATCTTGCTTCGTTGGAAGTGGGCACTCTTAAGAGGACTCTGGAAATGCTTGTGAAGTACATTGTTATTCATTGAGATTTTACCTTTTGTCAGATTCCAGGCTGACTGTACTCCTTGTTATTTTACTTTTCTTTTCATACAGTCTAGTTTTGGAGGATGGGGACTGGAACAGTCTGCTGGTAGCCTAGGATGTCATCTAGCTCTCCTTTGGTATTAGTGTGATGCTATAACAGTAGAGTGGCATAGGTGAATTAATGAATGATGTTCAGCGTGCTGTTCGTGGCAGCCTGTTCCAGAATTCCCTTTCAGCTTTGCCATGTTGCCTAGGATGCCAAATTTGGACTAGTAGTGTTTCCCAGCCTCATTTGTAGCTACAGATTTGGAATTAACTCAAATGTGGATTGGAGGATTATCTTTACTACTTAGTGAATGTACAACTAAAAAAATAAACATTAAGCATAATTTCAGATGTAGACAAAAGTAGACAAAATACTTAGACAAGATTTTGTGGTTTGTAATGTCATTATCCAGTTATATCAAACTTATTAATTTCTCAGTTTTTTTAAATGAATAGTAATCTTTACTACTATGAAACTTAATTAAGTTACACTTAACATCTAATAATAATAGCTAACAACCCACATATGTTACATGACCAGGTGCTCTGCCATGTGATTTCTTTGAGGTGTAGGTTCTGTTTCTACTCTTCATTTTACAAAAGAGGAAATAGGCTCACAGATGTTGCATGATGTACTCAAAGTCTCAAAACCACAAACCAACCAAACCAGCATTTAAATCCAGTTTTATTTTACTCCAAAGCCTTAAAGAATAATTTTTACAAATCATAAAAGGATATGCAAATTCCATCCTGCCTTGACTCTTAAGTTTCTTTAAAAACATGGAAAATTTTTACTGATCTGCCCCTAAAAGAATGTCCATGAACTCTTTAAATTAAAAAAATTATTTTAAAGAACCCAGAAGAGCCAACAAAGCAAAGCAGAGTGGACTGGCTTTGCAGCCCCTTGGCTCATTTCTCATAGCCCCAGGGTGTACTTAGGGTTTTGCTTATTTCTGTGGTTCTTGTGTTAAAGGATGACATTTGTTTTGCATTGCTGCAGAGGAATATAACATTTCTCTTTGTGACCAATCTTCTTCTCACTGTACAGCATGCTGCAGACTTGGAAAAGAAGCAGAATGAGACAGAAAACAGAAAATTGCTGGGAACAGTAATCCAATATGGCAATGTGATCCAGGTCAGTCAAGGCACCTCTTCTCTTCTGGAGCTGAAGCATGACAAAGAATGAACCGAAAGCAAACACATGGCACAGGGTTTGCATTCCTTTGCAGCAGGATTCCATAGAGACAGCCAATTTATTACCAAAGGATAAAACAAACAAAACAAACCCAATACCAAACCAAACCTAATTGCTTTTATATGTGAGGGGGCCTTGGGCTTTTTAGTTGGTTCTTCTCTTGGTGTAAGAATCTCCTTTCTCTGCCGATAGCTGATAATTTATGTCTAAATATTTCAAACATGAAGCTTCCTACCTGAAAAGGATCCTATTTATTACGGTTTTGCTTAACTTTTATTGTTTGAAGTTTCTTGCTGTTTAGTGAAAACTGGCTTCCTTGTAACTTGTATCTTTTGATCAAGAGCTGTTCACTAGAGGTATTGAGAATAATTCTATACTTTCAAAATTCTTTTTACTCAATACCAGTATCATTTTGATACATTTTATAGTAATAGAGTATTTGATCCTTCTTCAACAACTTCCACAGAAGATCCCAGGTGTGCAGAAAACTGTGAGGGAGCCTGGTGCCCAGGGCCCTTCTCCATTTGTTCAATTATCAGACCTCTTTGAACCAGGCACAAAAGATAATATCTACCAATAAATATTGAGCAGCTGACCCATAAGGTTATTTTGTTTCATTATGTCCCTTTTGAAAGATGTTGTTTACCCTATAAAATTTACTCATTACAAAGTAATTCTTTCTCATTTTTATGGTGGTTAACTAGACAGTGGTACTAATCAGGAAGATGGAATAAGGGGTTAAAAATATGATAAAAGCAACCTTTTGGGTTTAAATGGGTTATTTACATTAGACCTTTTAGAATAGTAAAAGTAAAAGTAGCTCAAAAAGCTCCTTGAGGATTAGGTGCTGCTGGTCTCCTACTCCTCTTCATGTCCTGTCAATTGAGAATGGACACAGGGGCCAGGTGGGATCAAAATTTACTGTCACCTCCTGTCATCTCTGCTTTCTCAGGAGCTGAGCCAGGAGGATTGCAAATTGCCAAGCTTGGATAATTATTGACTTAGTGAGACCCTCACTCAAAGTAAAAACTAAAGAAGAGCTGGGGACATAATTCACTGCCAGTCCTGCATTTAGTACCCATTACCAGAGGGAAAAATATTCAAAATCAGCTTTATTACTGAGCAAGGCGAGTTCCCTGAGGCCCCCCAGAGCACAAGACTCTGATTTGGGTCGGCTGGAGAGAATATGGCTTGATGTGTAGACTAAAGAGTTACCTAGGGGGAAGGCCATCAACTCCTACATATACTCTAATGAAGGTTTTGTAATTCACTGCCATGTCTTAATTGGTTTTAGCATCTACTTCCTAGGATGGTTGTGTAGGACAGAATACTTAAATTTAAATACTTAAAAACTAAGCTTAGCTTCCCCCAAGCTATCCACCTGTAGGTGATATTGGTTTGTAAACCACACGTCCAGAGCCTAAACAGGTGCGTGGAAGACCAGAGGCCACTCATCGGGGGCAGTGAGGGCTAGAAGGGCATTGCCTTTCCCTTGTGTGTTGTGACCAGAGATTGTCTGGGGCTCATGAATCAGACAAGTTACTCCTCCCTCCCAGTAGGCCTATTAGAGTATTTGGGGACTTTCCTAAGGGTGCTCTAGAAACATTATCTGTTTACTGTAAGCAGAAGGATTTGGGCAGTTGACAGTGAATCCCAAGCTGATCCTACCATTACTGCAGGGCCTGGGCAGTGTTTCATGCTCAATTTCCTCTTGTAACCTGTTGACCTGGGAAGCCTTGGTTAACACTTCCTGGACTAGACTGATCATAAGACAAGCTGTTTCCCATCTATAACTTCAGGCTTTGCATCCCTTTCATGTATCTGTTATCAGAGAATCAAGAATAAAGTGCATGAAACATCCTAGGTAGAAGTCCAGGACCACCATACTCTGCTCTGTCCTCCCCTAAAAGTGTTGCCTTTTAAATCAGACTTGTCTCATGTGATCATAGTTGCCTAGCTTAGCGCAGGCTCGGAGTGGGGGTTGTGTTCAGACTGCAGTTCCTTAGCCCCTTTACACAGGATTGGAACGCTGTCTGTTGACAGATGGCCGATAATGGATAGTACAGTAGACTTGAGCAACATCCATCTTGCCCCAGGCTATGTTGAGAAGAAAAAAAAATTTTTCCTTTTATTTTGACCTCTATTTCTGCCCTGTTTACTGTTTGTTCTTTTTTCACTCACAGCTTTAGGCACTTTGAGATTTTTCTAACTTCACAAGCATCTCTGTGGTGGGAGGAGTGTTTGATACATATTTTTTCTGACAGAAATGGTAGAAAATTCAGAGATGCACTGACACTTCGTTCTCTTTGTGGATTTTTAGCTTCTGCATTTGAAAAGTAATAAATACCTAACTGTGAACAAGAGGCTTCCAGCTCTGCTAGAGAAGAATGCCATGAGAGTGACATTGGACGAGGCTGGAAATGAGGGGTCCTGGTTTTACATTCAGCCCTTCTACAAGCTGCGATCCATTGGAGA